TTTCGCAGGAACCACCAACCTCTGGCTCAACAAAGTGCATCGTCGTTGTCCCTGCAGGCCAAGATGTTTTTTAAAAATTCGTGGATGTGGAGGCGAGGGCCAACTACAGGGCGATTAAGACCATTGACTTTTATTTGGAGAAAGGGTTTTTAGAGGCGGAGATGCCCTAGTTTTTGAAGAATGGAGTTATACGAATGAAGTGAGAGCATTTCTGTGCTCCCCCTATGCCGATTTTGCCGAAGCTGGTGAGGGAATTCTACGCGAATTTTGATGCCGACAGGGTGGGACGCATAACGGTGAAGGAGGTGAAGGTGGACTGGATGCCAGAGCGGATTAACAAACTTCTTAAGCTGCCAAGCAATCCACGGGCTGAATTCAACGAGATGATCCAGCAGACCTCTATGCGTGAGCTTCACCATGCCCTACAGCTGGTAGGGATCGAAGGTGCAGTTTGGCAGGTAATTGACAAGGGTGGCAGCTTCTTAAAGTCTGGTCAGCTCACGGGCGAAGCCAACGTTTGGCTCTACTCGTTAAGAGCCGGGTCATGCCTAAAACGCATGATTCGTCTGTTACAAAGGACATAGTCCTTCTGTTGGCCTGCATCTTTCAGAGCCGCTCAAATAATGTAGGACAGCTCATCCAGAAAATTGCACAATGCTCAACAAAGAGATCCGACCGTCTGTTCTTCTCTAGCCTTATCACCAAGCTCTACCTGCGCAGAGACGTGTCCATCCTTGATGACGAAGAGCCACTAAAGGACAAGCTGGTGATAGACAAGAGCACGGTGGAGCGATTGATGAGCCAAAACCCTACTCGTCGTGGAGCCAAAACCCAGTTAGCCAAAGTACTGAAGCAGCTCTCGCGAATAGAAGAGGCACAGTCAGCCTCTGCTGAGAAGGCGAAGAAGAGGCACACGAGCATCTTAGCGGTGCTGGAGCGTATCAAAGCGCCAGCACCATCCACATTCATTGTGTCGGCTCGACTGAAAGAATTACTAGAGCAATCTGGTAGCTCTTAAGAGGAAGATCAGCCCACGGGTGACTCTTCAGAGAGAGAAGAAAGTGAAGAAGAAAGTTCTGCCTAACCACAAAAGGAAGTTCTTATCCTTTTGATCTTGTCAAAAATGACCCCCACCCATGTTATTTTAAATTTCTAGTTAAATATTAAGGTCCTGTCCTTTTTATCTTGACAAAATGACTCCCATGTTACTTTAAATTTCTAGTTAAATATTAAGTTCTGCATTTTTCAATTTTCGCATTTAAATTTCTGCTTTTCTGGTGTTGTTTAGTAGTTTTATTTTTCAATTGTTCTCATCTTTCGTCTTTTGCCTCGCCTTTTATGGAAAGCTTTTATGCTAGAGTCTGCTAAGTGCGCAGTTTTACTGTTGATGCTGGAGCCTTTTAATGTAGTTAGCTTTCTTTTGTTCATCCTCTGGTTCATTTTTGCCTACCCATGTGCTAGCATCCCTCTCGTAGTACTGGCCCCAGGTAGCGCTTACCTTAGAGAACAATTTCAATGGTCATCTATCCAAAGCGAACCATTATCTTTGTATAGATAGCTTGGACCTCTTCTTTTAGATCCCCCTAGTTGTTAGCAGTAACTCTTCCCAATCATATCTATATCTTGATAGCGAACATCAATATACTTCTCAAATACTTTCGCTTTAAGTTTGGGGATATGATAGAGCTTTACATTCTAGATGTCCTTAGTCGCATTGAGGACAATGCAACCTTTTAAGTTTGGGGGAGTGAACCTTCAGTTCTTACATCTTTATTAGCAATTGTACAGAACCATGAATCTTTCTAATCCTGTAATTCAGCCATTATTTCTTGGAAAAAAAATTCTTAAAAAGAGGGGCTAGTAGCCCACATCCAGAGCATAAAGAGGATGCAGGATTAGGAAGGGCTAGTAGCCCATGGTTAAGAAGGCCAAGCAGGTAGTGCAAGGTTTAAAGGTTTAGGCTAGTGAAAGGGGCTTGAGAAAGGAATCACTATGAGAAGTCAAGCTTGAAGTTGGGAGGTAGAAGGAAGCTAGAGTTAGGCAGAAAATAGCGTCTTCCGGAGTTTGAACAAGCTTAAGCTTTTTGCATTTCTTTGCTCCAGCTGAAATACTTAGCATAGTATGTAAGTTCTATGAACTCTTGATAAAAAGAAAGGATTGAGGCAGAAGATTAGATTGTTTGAAGTGTAGATTTCCAGTACCTTATTTTGGTTTCCTGAACTGAAATACATGCTCTTGCTTGGGGACAAGTAAGATTTTAAGTTTGGGGGTGTGATAACTCTCCAAAAGAGAGTTATTCTGGTGATTATTTGGGTGAAAATATGCATTAAAATGTCAAGTGTGTAGGTTTAGGTCATAAATAGCTTGAATAGTGTTACAATGTTAATCTTTAGCTAAATATCCTTAGTCTTGAGAGTTTTGGCCACAAACAACATAAACTCTCGTATTTTTTGTTCATTTGCACAGGTTTGTAAAGACAAGCTAAAGTAAGGAGAAAGTGTTGGACCAGAGAAAAGCAGTCAGGGCATTTTCGAGACAGAGCATGTGAAAGCTGGAGCAAAGCGGTGCTGGAGCATGAAGTGACTGCACAGTTCAAGTCAAAACACGAGATTTACCCATGTCTGGACAAACTCAAGCCGGGTGCCCTAAAAAGGGAACCCGGTATTTAAGGGATGTTTTGCCCTAGTCGACAGACACAGTAATCCCAAGGGAGACAAAGTTAGAAAGCTGAAAAGACAAGAGGAGGGAATATCGCCATTTTCAGGGCGACAACTGACTTGGAAAAGAGGAGGCTCACCTACTTCGACGAGCTGTCAGCTTCTTCTTCTTTGCCTCTTTTTGCTACTGCCCTGAAATGAGTTGTATTCTTCTTTCTTCCATTTTGTTTTCTTCACCCATTATGAGCTAAACCCCATTTTGGGGGAGACTCACATGCTGTAACTAACTTGATACTGAACCTCTAGCCGCTACATCTATTTTTGAATAAAGCTGTTTTGTATTTCATCAATCTTGCGTGACATTGTTGGCCACTCTGTTGCGTTTGGTAGCAACTGTATTGACCCGGGAGGGCTTATGGGTGCTGATGTGCTTTATTCATGATTCGCATTTTTATATAGCTTTAGGGATACTTAGGAATGGGGTCCCCTAATCATGCTTAGGGCTTGCGTTTATTGCTTCGGTATTTAGCAACAAAAGTTGTACTTACTCATGTTTAGGGTGTCTCGGAATGGAACCGAGTCGAGCTAGGCACTAATGGATGTTAGTAAGCTAGAGGGTAGGTCGATAACCGGTGAAAGTCTACTGAATCTCCCCCCCTTTTCATATCTGCTAACCCATCATTATCGCTTTCTTTGTTAGAGATTTTTCTTGTCGACAGCTTCGATAATTGTGTCTGCTGCAAGCATCTATTATCTTGTTGTTTTGCTATTTCTTTTAGATAATTTCCATGCACTGAACTCTTTAGATGTAACACCGTTAACTAACGGATTGCTATTTCTTAGGATGACCAAGAAACTCATTTACAATCTTGAGTGAGTTATGAACTCCTGCCCATTAGGGCTTGTCTTTTGATCTGTATGGGGGAGAGTGGCCCGAGCCGCCTACTCAATATTCTTACCATTTTGGGGATGAGACCGAGTGGGGAGCTGGGAACATAACTTCACAAGATGAAATTCACTCCTCCTCGACTTTAGAGAGTAGATGAATG